TGGACAAAGAACATAAAGACACTTTCACCAAAGAGGATGTACAGATGACAAATATTCACTTGGAAAAAATGTTTAACATTATTAAGCATCATGGGAACGCAAATGAAGATCATAATGTGAAATCATTGAAAACATTAAAATACCTAAAATAAAATAATGACAATAATACTGCAATGCAGGATACAGAGACACTGAGTCTTTCATGCATTTATTTATTGGTGGAAGGTTAGGTATTCTAACCATTCTGAGAAGTAGTATGACAGTTTCTTAGGAAACTAAATATATATTAGGATATTTTAAAATCTCATGGGAAAATGGAATTAAAATGTTTATTTCACAAAAAAATTTTTAATCTATGCATTTTTTCATAAGACTTCTAATATCTGTGATACAAACCTACAATCTCACTCCCAGAAATCATAACTGAAAGCTACACAAAATCTTGTGTACAAATGTCTGCAGCACTTCTGTTTATAATAGTCAAACTCGGGAACAATCAGAATGTCCTTCAATAGGTGAATGGTTAAATGAACTGTGGATCATGGAGCACTGCTACTGGGCAATGAAGAGTAGTGAAAAACTGATAGCTGAAGTATCTTGAGGGAAAGAGTTTTAAAAAGTGAAAAAAACCTCAGATATCACATACTACATGATTCCAATAATGTAACTTTTAAAAATGCCTGCTTAATTTTCATTTATTGGAACAAAACAGAGACAGAAATTGGGGGGAGGGTCTTCCATTCACTGGTTCATCCCTTCCCCAACTCCAGTGCTAGAAACAGCCTGAGATAAGCCAGGCCAAAGCCAAAGCCAGAAACACCTTAGGGATCTCCCACATGGATGACAGGGACCCAAATACTTGAATCATCATCTTCTGCTTTTCAACATAAATACTGGCAGGAAGCTGGGGAGAAAGCAAAAGCAGTACTCAGGCACTCTGTTATGGGATGTATCAGTGTCTTAAACTGCTCTTATGTAACATTCTTGAAATAGTAATATTATTAAAAAAGAAAAACACATTTGTGGTTGCAATGGATATGAGATAATGAAACTGATTGAATTGGATGAATTGGTGAGGGGAATGAAGATTTACATGGCGGTGAAATAGTTATTAAACTTCATTGTACTGATGATGTTTACACAAACCTAGAGTTATGATAAAGTCTCCTAGAAATATACCAATGTCAACATTTTGGCTAGTACACTTTATGTAAGTTACTTTGAAGAAAACTGTGATGGATACAAGCGGCATTTTCTACGTTTTCTGATTTTCTACGTTTCTATCAATATTTCAAAATGAGAGTTTTTTTTTAAACACTATCATATTGGAGCAATCCACCAAATGAGATGACAAATGAAGAACCTGAAGGGATCCCTATATGCCAGACCCTTAATGGAACAAATTGAAAATACTTTCCTCATCAATAAAAAAATGACATTTGTTTTTATATACAGTACAAATACATAATCCATGTCTCCCTTTCCACAGTACAATATTCCCTTCTGTAGAAAATTTGAGACAGCCAGTCAGACCGCCACATATTGAGATATTGTCCATGCAACAGTTCAGTCTGCAAATACCCACCCCAGCCTAGCCAAGTCCAGAGCCAGGACCCCAATCCAAGTATCTCATATGGGTGTCAGGAACTCAGCTACTTGAGCAACCACCTGCTGCTCCCCAAGGTCTGCATTGGTAGAAAGTTGGACTCAAGAGTGAGAGCTGGGAGTCACATGTGTGTACTGCCAGAGCAGCAAATTTAGTCATTAGTCCAAATCCCTGTCCCCAAACTTTGTATTTTTCAGTTGCCATTATTCCTTTTTCTAACAATAAACTCAAAACTTTGTGCTGAGTCTCTCACTGGTCTGTGTCTTATTCCCCGGTTGGTCTCACTCTGTTGACCACTCTAGTGGCCATGAATACCCTGCTATTCAGGACTTGATACATCTGATGGTCCTTGTGCCCTGTCTAAACAATTTGGTGCTTTTAGCTCCCAATACTGGGGTAAGGACAGAACTGGAAGAGAACTGGACTTAGGTGACAGAAAATGTACCTAAGAAAGAGTGCTTGGACTGTGTCAAAGAGAAAAGCCAGCCCATCTAAAATCAAGTAGTTGGGAGGAGAGGGGGAAGTCAAGCAAAAGCTCTACAAAGATGATCAGAAATTCAAAATACGAAGTATGAAGGAAATTGTAGTCGGTCAGAACAGAACTCTGATAGTTGATAGAAATGCAGGCTGGAGGAATGCAAACATGGAGGAAGAGGGGACCATTAGTGGTACTGGTACATTGGTAGGTGCTTTTCATCATGATAACAGGTGCAGGTATTCACTGAGCATTTGTCTTGTGTCAGGACTTGTGATGCTTCTTTTTCCTTTAAATGATTTGCTTATTTATTTACATTTTTATTTGAACGGCCAAGTTATAGAGAGGAAGGAGAGATAGACAGAGAGGGAGAGATCTTCCATTCTCCGGGTCACTTCCCAAATGGTATCAGGGCCAATTCAAAGCAAGGAGCCTGTAGATTCTTCTGGATCTACACATGTTTATATCTGCTGCACTCAACCTCTCCCTGCTCTCACATCTATTTATACAGTCTATGTTTACACCTAGATTTACTTCTCTTTCTGTTCATTTGTATTGGTCTCAAATTTATCTATAGCTATACTTAGCAGAAAAATAAGTTAAAAATCAGGACCATATGAAATGAGAGAACCAGAGAATAAGAGAATAAGATTAGAGAGTATATGTGTGTGTGTGTGTATGTGTGTGTGTGTATCTTGATGTCAAAACAGACAAAAAACATGGGTTTTCATATTTTTATGAGACTTCTTGGTATGAAAGGTAACAGAAAAACACGGTCATTTAAAAAGCCAACACTGTGTACTTGGAACAATAAGCTAAAAAGGATTCATTTTGGAAGGTTTTGTGCTGCAGCTTTACAGAAGGAAGGAGTGCAAGTTGATGGGAAGAATACATTTTTTTATCAGTGATTCTCAATCAGAGGCACCTGCTACCTGAGATATCTAACAAAGGCTTCCAACCTAAATCCCTGCCAGTTTATAGATCAATTTCCTAGGGGGTAGAATCTTCTGTTAAGGATTCTGTCATGGTGCACTATATGCTAATGAGATTTTACAAATGAGGCTGTATAACTGAGAGTTTTTTTAGGTGTATTGGAAGGAGAAAAGAGAGAAGATCACCTAATCTAGAAAGAGGAAATAGAATGAGTCATTTAATCATGCATTGATACTAAAAGCAGTCAGGACATGTCATGTGCAAAGGTAATGAGAGATAGAAAATGAAATACACATTATGTTGGACACAGTGAAGAATAAATGGATAGCACTGTATTCTGGGCATATGACAACTTTACATATATTATTTCACCACAACTTGGTGAAGCAAGAGTAATACCCAATTTACAGGTAAGGAGATTTGAACTCCAAAAGAGCAAGTAGTCTGGCCAAGGTAACTCAACTTTAAAGTGCCAGGATAAAATAGAGTTAAAGTGCGTCTGTAGCTGAATTTATTTCCACACTGGATTCTGAGCAATCAGTACACTTGGAATATAACTGGGGGTGTGAGGAATCAAACATGAGTTATACAATCTCATTTGTAAAAACAAGAGTACGATTAAAATATACTCTTTAAGACTCAGTGGTGAGATGCGTACAAGATTAAAAACAACATAAAACATCAGGAGAGGAACAGGTATTGGAGGGATTCATTTTGTTGGTATTAGGATGTTGGTTTCTAGGGAGAGGTAGACACAGCAGCATTCAGGCCAACTTGTGAAGCATGGGTAACAGATATTCCTCAAACAGAATGATGTGTCCTAGAAGGTGTTTTCCAAGGGACTTCAAATTACTGTAATTTATCTGGAAAAAGTTTGACTTAGATCACAAGGGAGTGAATTGACCTTAAGAAAAAGAAATCAACATATTTGAAGTCCAAGAATATGCCTATATTGGCATTTCTCCAATTCTGTGATTTGTGTCAACTTCTTAGTCAACACATAAAGGATTCCAGGCATTCTTGGAAATGACACACTGACAATGAAGCCTTCTGTGTTGTGCCAGTAATTTAAGTCTCTGAAGGAATGGACAGTACAATTGGATTCCTGAATTCCAACCTCCCCTTTTTGCCCTTCTGCTCTACCTCCACACACTCCCTTCACCTCTGAAACATCAGACATTCTTTTCTCAATGACTTGAAGAATGAAGTAAAAGAGTTTGCTTTTCAGCTCCAAGGACCCAACTTGTTGAGAGTGAGGGTTTATTTAACTCGAAAGATAAGACTTTTTTCCCAAAAGATTTATTTAATTTTATTATAAAGTCAGATATATAGAGAGGAAGATCTTCCGTCTGATGATTCACTCTCCAAGTGGCTGCAACGGCTGGAGCTGCACCAATCCAAAGTCAGGAGTCAGGACCCTCTTCCAGGTCTCCCACACAGATGCAAGGTCCTAAGGTTTTGGGCCGTTCTTGACTGTTTTGCCAGGCCAGAAGCAGGGAGTTGGATGGGAAGTGGGGCTTCCTGGATTAGAACCAACACCCATATGGGATCTTAGTGTGTGACAGCAAGGACTTTGGCCACTAGGCTACCACGTCAGCCCCGAAAGGTAAGATTTCTTTAAGATTCTTCTTGTCCTGCTCTCTGATCAACACTTAGCCCTAGGATGCCATGAATAGAGATTCATAATTTGAATTCTGGAACAGTAATTTGCATGTATGCTACAGAAATCCCAGAAGAAAAATCAAAGTAAACACAATCACTTGCCTAGCCAAGAGATTCAGGGAAATGGATTGTGGTCTCTAGAACTGATTGCTGCTTTAGAAGAGATCCAATTGTATCTAGAAGACTTTGAGATCTATACTATGCTAAGGTCCTGAATTGTACCTTCAGTCAGCCTACTGGCATACTGATGCATTGTTGCCATCCCACCTATCATCAGCCACTATGACATACTGCCCCACCCAGACCAGAAGGACAGGTACAGCTGTAATTGGAAAGTTCAGTCAGCAAGGCAGTGCCTTTTTGGAAAGTTCTGGTATTCAACTGGAAATCTCCATTGAAAGTAGAAGAAATCTTGGTTGGGAAAACAAGGGTGAGCCCAGAGAGCATTATCATAGCTTGGGACACCTTGAGTGTAAAGAGAATAGAAAGAAAAGGGAAATGCATGGAGAAAAGGGAGGAGGAGGTGAGAAAAGGGATTAAAATGGAAACCTGAAAAAGGGCTCAGAGAAAGCAAAATAATACAGAATATGAAGGGAGAAAGGTTTTGTATTCTACTCAGATTGTATTTGGTATCAAACTTCAGTTTTGTCCAAATGACTATGAGAGACCATTTCTGACATCTGGATTGTTGTTTCTCCCAGGAGCTGGACCCGGTTGCCCATGTTGTGGTTTCTTCTGCTGTTTTGGAAATAACTCAACCTGAAGTATTTAGAGCTTGTTGAAAATAATACAGCAGTGAACTAGCAGGTATTCAGCCAGCCAAGAATTTTAAAAGATTCATTATTTACTTATTTAAAGGAGTAACAGGAAAAGATGGAGGAGGGAAGAAAGGAGAGAGGGAGAAAGAGCCAGAGAAAACAAGAGGAGGATATAGAAGAAAGAAGAGGAAGGAGAAGGAAGAGGGGAAGCAAGAGGGAGGGGGGGAGGAAGAGATAGTTTCTATCCACTATTTCATTTCCCTAATGAGTTGAGCCAGGCCAAAGCCAGATGTCTGGAACTTCTTCCAGATATCCCACCTGGGTGGAAAAGGACCCAGTTACTTGAAGAATCATCTGCTGCCTTCCAGGTGCATTAGCAGGAAACTGGATCAGAAGCAGAGGAGCTTGGCCTAAATTCAGCACTCTGGTTTGGAATACAGACATCCCAAAGTGGCTTAACCTGTCCCATCACAATGCCAGCTCCAAGCAATCAATTTTCTTACTCTTAACTCCTCTACTTTTATCTAAGTTTTCCTGAAGCTTTGGGTAAATAAAACTGCTCATGAATTGTCACTAGGTGTACATGAGTACTCTTTATATTTTACTGGTCACAACATAAATGTGGGAAAGGGTGAGGGAGAATCGGAGAAAAAAAATAACCAAAGAATGAAAATATCCTAAAACAAAAATGTTTCTATACTCTTGTGGTATTCACTTATGACATTTTAAGTAAAAATATGACAATGTTCCACTGAAATTTAGTCTTTTAGTCTCTATAGAATATTGCAGTTGGTCTTCGGAAGTGGAGTATAGAAGGCTTGGTGTCTGTCTTGTCTCTGACTTGCCTGAATATATTTACCTTTCACCTGACCCTTTCTATGTTGTTCATTAGGGATTTCATTTTGAATAACAGCTGTTTATACTTACATTTCAGGGAATCTAACATGGAAGAAGTTGGGCAGAACTCATTGAATGATGTGTAAGTACTGACATTAGCACACAGTTTGGTAGAGGAACTACTGTACTATGGGGAGAAATCCCAAAAATTCAAGCCTGAAGAGGCTGCCTGGAGAGAAGAACCTTTAGTTCTTTGTAGTGCTTTCAGATTAGCAGTGGATTTTTCAGAAACAACTGAAATCTTAAATAGTATGTTAGTCTTATTTGTCAAAATGACCCATCTTTTTCCAGCTCTGCATTAAGCAGATACCTCTGCCTAATTTGGTCCATTGGTCAAGTCTAAAACTAAGGGAAATAAAAAATTCTTCCCTTTCAGATGTTTAAATACTTAAGAGGAGTCACTGGATTCCACATACTTTATAAATAAATTTTGGAGGCAAGTTAGAGTATAATTATGCATATGAAAAATATTTATTTTACATGATAAAAGATTTGCATTGTATTAGGCTCACTTGTAATATTTGAAAATAAAGTGTAATTTAACTCCAGTAATTTTTCTTTATGCAAAACATGATAGAAGTGAATTTATCATGAGAAAATGAAGTATAACTGGTTAGGCTTACTCAAAGCAGCAGGTGGGAGAATGAGTGAGATAACAGGGAAAAGCATTCCCTATATGCTCCTGCATTTTCTTGGCTTGGGTTTAATACTGAAGGTAATTTTTCTGCAGGTGCAAGATGATGGAAATACCAAATTTAGAAGTCACAAAACAGAATCTTGACTACCTGAACTCAGATCTTGAACAGGACTTGCAGAAACTGGATGAGGCTAATCAGATTCTTCTTAGAAAGATCCAAGAGAAAGAAGGAACTATTCAAAGGTCAGACCTTGCTGTTGGTGAGGGAAAGGGTTTCTCTTTATCCTAGTTCCTTTGGACTAGAGAGAAAATTGGAAGAAGGATAATTTCTTTGGATGACTAGTGGAATCATGTATTTAAAACCTGAAAAATGAACTGTCATGCCCTCAAAACTTCTATAATAAATTTATACATTAAGTATGCACATTAGGTTAAAGTTTTGTCACCACTGGCCCAAGTAGTAGGCACTCCAGCACTGTGAAATTAGTAACACCTTAAGCTAGAGTCCTTTTTGGTGGCTCCTTCGGACTGCCTGACACTTAGGTAATTTTCCATCTTTTTAGTCTGGAAGCAGAGATCTCCTTGTCACTAGGACAAATCAAAGAGAAGGAGGAATTGGAACACATTGTATCAGAGAAAGAGGAATCCCTGAAGGACCTGGAACTACAGTCAGGGAAGCTGGTAAGTGAATGTGTAGTCAGACATCTTTGGCTGTACTTTGCTCACATTCTGCTATGTCCTCATTCCTATGAGATCATTGCATTCTCATCACTTCTATACTATAAAAATCACAACTGGTTAAGGGGGTGTTCTGGAGATGTAGTACTCAGCATGAAGGCTGATACCTGGGCTCTGTTCCCAGATTCACCATGTGGGGCCACTTGATGAATGCATCCCCAGATTTCATTCCAGGGTCCTGGTAAGGGGGAAAATAGGAGAGCAAAAACAGATTTGTCCCCTTTGCTTTCTTCTCCCTACAGGAAAAAAAGAATAAAATTCTTAACAGAAACATAGCAGAGCTTCAGAAAGAGGTAAAACGGGCCTGGAACATACTCTTCATAAAAGATGGAAGATGGGGTGTGGGCATACATTCTCAGAAAGAGGGATATGAATGAAGTAGCTGATTTCCATATCTCAAAGCCATTTCTGAGGATTCCCATAGAGTTACTTGTCTTCTTGGACTCTACAGTCAGAAAGACTGGAGAAGGAGTAACCAGTAAAATCCCTGTGTGGATTTTGACTCTTGGAACAAACTGTCCAAGGTCTGCATTTCAAAATTTCTGATTCTGGAGAGAAATGAAGGACTATAAAGAGAGAAATGATCTTTCCCTCTTTTCCCAGTCAGTTTGTTCCATTCCCTTTCTCATCTCCCTCTTCTCATTGTGCCTTAGTTTCCTCAGGCTATGGGAACAAAACTCATGTCCTTTAGCATGGAATCAGACAACTTCCTCAGGGAAATGGAGACACTTTTTCACTAATTTTCAATTGACATCTGAATGACTAAACCACCATTCTTGTGGTCTCAGTCACATGAGTCTCCATCACCCAAGCCTGCCATATCCCAAGTTTTCATGTTTGTGTGTCTTAGTTCATAATATGGGGAATGATATTTCAGATTTCGAGCAGATTTCAGAATGTTGGCCCTGATCAAGGAAGGCTGAAGCAAAAGTTGACAGAACTGAAGGTGAGCAGAAAAGCAGAACTAGAGACTTCCTTTGCTGCCAATTCTAGATTTTGGAAGGAGTTGTTTTCAAGGGTTCCCTTGGGTGAGATGTGAAGGGCCTGTGGTGAATGCACTTGTACCAGTGATGATTATCATGGCATCAAAATGGAGGTAATTGCTTGAGAAGCCTCGTCATCCATTAGTCAATGTAACACATGTTCTGAATGCTCATCAGGGCATGCCACCAATAAGCGAGGACCTTAGCGAGGACATACAAGTAAGATATTTGAGGAAGTAAATAGTAACTTCCATGATTAAAGGGGGATTTGTCAACAATCTGATTTTCGAACCCCTGACTTACAGGACTTAGGATTAATAGTCTGTTTTCCCATGCTACACAGTAAATCCATTAGCAACATGATTTTTTTCCTGTTTCACATAAATTTTCTGACCTGTGGTGTTCACATATGAATGTTCAGAATAGTCCCTGGCACATGACAGATACACAGTAAACATTTACTGAATGAATGAATTGGACTTCCATTATTGGGAGGCTCCTTGTTGGTTTATGTGTTAAATATGGCCAGTTGACTCAATCAAAAATGCAAGAGTCCCACAGTCTTTTTTTTTTCCTCTGAAAAAGTGCGGCAAAGTTTTCCTTTGCTCCTTGTGTGGTTCAGAGAAAGTGCCAGAGCATCTTATTGATTATGAGTGGAGAAAATGTCTGGGGAATTTTGGTGAACAGCATTGGGGGAAGGACAGGTAACTTTCATTGGGGCATCGGGCTTTCTGTCACTTGGTGACCCACCAAAATTCCAAAATTTTTAACTGAATTCATGCTTTTTTGTTTTCCCATTTATATAATGAGGGCCGTATCCTCAATGCCTATCCTCAATGTACCATAGTCATCATTATGTTCCTTGCTGGTCTGGAGAGGGTAATAATTACTGATTTACCTTCTCCAAAAATGCTGTTAACTTCCTGCTGTCATTTATTTTCTTCTGTAGGTAAAAGTTCAGAAGTCAGCAGAGTCCTGTGCAAAGCAAGAAAAGAAACTGGCCAAGGTAGAGGAAGTATCTCTCTTATTAAGCAAAATAACAGGACAGGGGCAAGTGTGTTGATTTACCCTGCTTACAATGCTTGCATTTATAGGAGTACTTGGTTTAATGTCCTAGCCTCCTCTCCATTCCAGTTTGCTACTCATGTGCACCTTGGAAAAAAAAAGAAGTCAATGGTTCAAGTACTTGAGCCCTTGTGGACTGACTTCCTAGCTCCTACCTTTGGTCCCTGGCTTTTGGCCCCTGGCTTTGGCCTGGCCCAATCCCGCTATTGTGGGTATTTGGATAATGAATCAGTATATCAAAGATCTCTTCCCATCTCTCTTTCAAAAAAGTATTTTAAAGGTAGAAAATTCCAAGGATCTTATAAACAGAATCACTTGAGGTAAGGCAAGGAGAATAAAGTAAAAAGTACTGGCTTTGCCATTTCTGAAAAATATTTCTCTGCCTCAAATATCATCAAATCCCAAGCATAACTGCCTCAAAGTATTTCTTGAGGTCCCATCTGAGAGGTGTATGACAACATAGGCAGACAGTTTTCTTTATTGAAAATTAGATGCTCTGTGTGAATTCTGAGATCATGTCTTTGGAATATAGTTATCTTTCAACTAAGGAGTTGCTTGGAAACCAGCCAAATGTTTAGGGTACCAAGTAGGGTCCCAGAAAGCAGCTCATGCTTGGTTCTGGTTTGACTGATGGTGTGTGTTAATTTTCTTTTCTTTCTAGGTAGAGAGTGACTACCAATCTGTGTACCAGCTCTGTGAGGACCAGGCCCACTACATAAAGGTAGCACACCTTTGGGGAAAAGGCAAAGCAAGGACAGATTTCCCCCAAGGGCCTGACATTCTTGGTTTCTCATTAGGAAAGTATTTGTCACTGGGGAAAATGCCTTTTACATAGCAGTAAAAAGACAGATGCTCATAAAGATTTTTGTTTTGTGCTGAGCCCTGTGATAAGCTCCCAATTTATCCATTACCTTTGTTAAAATGATAGCTTTGTAAGCAAGAGAACCCTGCATACACAAAGAGTTAGCTAACATGCTCTGGGAAACACAGCTAATAAGCTTAAGAGCTGGGACTTGAATATGAGCAGAATCCAGAACGAAAACTCTTTTTGTTGATATCCATCCATTCTGGTTACCAATATCTCTTACTTTGTATTTGAACATCTTCCTTACTTTTATGTGCACTCATTTAGAAGATTAGGACTGAGTCTTTATAGAATATGATTTATCAATGGCATTATAATGAAATATGGAAATTATTTATGGCCTTTTTTTCATTCCCATGGGAAGAAATATCAGGAAATTCTGAGGCAGATGGAAAAGGAAAAGGAGGTGCTGCTTCTCGAAAAAGAAATGTAAGTCTGAAAGAAAGACCTCTCTGAAGTGGAATTAAGGCAGATTCTGAAAGGCAGAGTAGTTCTTGGCAGAGCCAGTGTCCCTGTGTGAATGACCTCCTAAAAGTCATTTCTGGCAGCCTTTGCCCTGTGTTACAGTCTGAAAAATCATAACATTCAGGCTTTTCTCCTCTTTTCCTCAGCTACAGGAACTTTAAATGTCTATTACTTTTTCATTTGCTCTCTGCACAGTGTCATTGCTGCAAACTGACTCAAGGTATGTTCAGAGAGGAAGGGTCAAGGGGAAAAAAAAGAGGTCCAGAGACACAGAGCTATTTCTGCCGATACATGCCCTGTCCTTCTATGTGTCTTGTCTCCAAGAAATGGTGGGGTTATGCTGAAGGCACAAGTGAGGCATTCTTGTACTTTGCGTTGATAGACTTGTGTGTCTTAGGATTTGTTATATTTTTGTTTATGCTTTAATTACATATGATTACATTATATATATAAAGTACACAAATCTTTACAGTTCTGATGTTTTACAGCTTTTTCATAATGCTAAGTGAAAAATGTGGGTGTTTCCTTTGTCTTTGGCCTGCATTTGTGAGGTTTTCTTTTTCTTGTTGATTTGTTCATGTTTTTTAAAATATTTTTTTCACATGGTTTTTTGTCACATGGTTATTTGTGTCATGGTTTTCTTTCCTAACTTTCTTAAAGAATGTCTTTTAAAAAGCAGTAGATTTTAACCTTAAGGAGCTTTAATTTATTAATTTTCTCAATCTTTTCCCTTTTCATTTTCAGCTTGCTGAATATTTTTATCATGACACATATTAAACTTTGGGAAACACTTTTGAACAACTGGTTGTAAGAGTCATGCCCTTGAAAACATGCCCATGACTTCTGATCCATGCACTGTATGGCTATTCAATTGTTTACTCAACCCTTTATCTTTTGTCTTCTGAGCTTTCTTCGAATGCTTTGCTGTAGACACACAGCTTAGGATCCTGCTGTCTTGAGAGGAACACCCCTACAGATGTTTGAACTAATTCTCTGTACCTCCCTCCTCCTTAGAATTTTTTTTCCCCCAAATCATAGTCACAGTGATGGCCTTACTGTGTGCTCAGCCAACTGATGCTGCCACTTGCTGACTGGACTCAGTTTCCCTGTACCACAGACTGGCAAATACTGTTCTAGGAGAAAGCCTAGATGAATGAGTTGCTCTGCTAAGTAAGCTTCATGGATCTGTATCTCCATGATTTCTGGCTACATTCACCAAGGCATTCCAACAGCTGCCAGGCACTTTGCCCAGTTTTCATAGTTGCTTTTGGAGGTAGACTTGTCTGACACAAGCTAATCCATTAAGGCAAAAATCATGAGTCTGCCACACCTCTTCCCTTTCATTTGATGACTACAAAAGAAATTCCCATAAAAGTGCTGAGTAAGCTTTTACTGGACTCAATCCCTCTAGGGAGAGGAAAATAATTATAAGCTATGGACAGCAAAACAAAACAAATGAAAACAAATGGGCAATAGTGAATGAATAAATAAACAATGAGTAAACTTGCTCTGTAAGAGGCAGCTAAATAGTCATTCTGGGATAAAAAGAAGGAGGAGGAGAAGGAAGAGGAAGAGAAGAAAAAGGAGGAGGAGGAGGAGGAAAAGACGGCGACGACAGTGACAGTTTGGGGCAGGCAAAGATGCTCAAAGAAAAGAAGGAGCCAGTCATGGGAAGCGTCAGATTCCAAACTCTACCCAGATTTCCAGTTGATCTACAAACCATGTACACTGGGAGTAGTCTGTGAACAGCCAGCTAGGGATATAAGAACAAAACTGAGCTTTGAACTGCTACCAAAAAAACAAACAAAAAAAAGACTTTCTGTTTGAATTCAACTTCATGATTATTTCAGTCTTTGTATTATAAATTGTCTTTCTTTTGAGATGGGTTCCATCATCTTGGTTCTTAGTATGCTGAGAAACTATGAATTCTGAATATGGAGCACAGCAATTGTTATTTTGAATCTAGGAAATAAATCATGATCATAGCTGATATATGACTCAGAAGTCACATTTTATCAGTCCATTGGATGATTTTACATAATTATGGATGCTGAGCTTGTTTTGTTTTGTTTTAACCTAGATCCAAGGTCCAAAATAACTCATCCCAAATTGTGAAGTCTGGGTCAATTCTGGTGGAGACCATCCAAAGCAATATGGTAGGTCTTTCCTGTTCTTCTCTCTCTGGCTCCCCCTTTTTTTGTCTCTCCCTACTTGTGTTTATTTCTCAATCACCCTGGAATTAGTAAACAATGATGTTAAGTGATGTGCTCCATACAATAACAGAGTGATAGATCCAGACTTATCCAGACAACTCGAATCCAGGTGGCCCCTCTCCACTCCCCTGCTATAGGACCTCTGTGAGCACATAGACAGCAGTAACTGAGCTTCGATTAATCCCCCACCCCAACAGGAGAAGACCATCATGAGGAAACAAAAGAGAATCTTTTGGTACAGGTAAATGACACATTTGCTCTTTAGCTGACATAGTAAGGGAATAAAGGAAAAACACATCCAGATTTTTTTCTCAGTCCTTGCTTCCTTTCCCAACCCAGAATGATAACACCAGAATTTTACAGTTATAAATAGCTGGGAAAATTCTTAGCTTTTTCTGTGAATTTCAGATAAAGGTTCTATGTTGCATTTCACCTTCAATACCCATGTTCATGAGCTTCACTGTGACCCTTCTCTGTTTTCTAGATCTTGAACCTGTCAAACTGTGCTCTAGTCGCTCTTCAGGAGAGAACACAGGCAGCATTAATTTTCATCGTTTTTTGAATTTTACTTATTATTATTCTTGTTATTATTATCATTTTATGATGCAGTTCCATCGGACTTGGGATTTCCCTTATCCCCTCCCCAATTCCCCTCCTCACTGGATTCCCCTATATTATTACCATAGTATAGTTCTTCAAAAACAGTTATATGTCCACCATTGCAGGTATGGACAATGGCAGAGAGTCCAGCATCCTATTGTCAATATATTCTTTTAATGCAGACCAAGAAATTTTAGAATTATATTGAACTCTGTGTCTTTTCCCTTTTTGATTTTTGAAATATGAAGATGGACCCTGAAGTATTTCATGTATCATTTTAAGGAAAGACTTCTATTTAAGACATCTCAATATAACTAAAGAACAAGAACCTCATATTAGTTGCCACAGAATTTTCTTGTGGGTGTACTTAACACACACACGCGAAACTTTACTTGTTTGAGTTGGTCTCTCTGAGCACTAGACATTTATAAAAACCTGACATTATTACATTGATGCAACAGTGGCTAAATCATATATTTCAAATTCTAGAACTACTTGCTATAAAAGGCTTGGTAAAGCACACTAATGATGAGGTTTGCGAATGTGACATTTTGTGACAACATCCAAAGGCCATGCTCAATATACAGTACCTGGAAAGTCATCTCCTTTTGCAGCTCTAATCTCTGGTGTTTTTTGTTTTGTTTTGTTTTGCTGGAAGACTTAAATGATAGGAGGCTTGTCATCAACTCCTAACCGCTACATCACTTTTTTTCTATATTAACCTGCCCACTACCCTCACCTTCTGTACCCTCTCACCTCCCACACATAGTTCATAAGACTGGTTTCAACAAAACAATTCACTAGCAATTTGTGATTACACTGCTTTAACACCGAGCTGTTTCCCATGTTGTAATAATAAATGTCTCTTTGCAGGAATTTCCAGTGTCTTGTCTTCATGGCCATGATCTTCATTAGGCTGCTGGGCTACATGTTTTTCCATCTACAGTACATAAACCCAGATCTTTTTGTGGATGCCCTGCCGATGGTAATGAGCAGGGACACCTTGACAAGACTCAGGGATGTCTTATTTCCCTCCCTTACTCTTGAAGTGGAAGAAGTTCTACCACACTAGTCTGGGACGCCCGGGGCATCTCACCCTACTCTTGAGTAGGGGCAGGTGTAATCATGGCCACTGTGTTGAAGGACGGCCTTGGAGGGAAGTAGAAGCTTTTGACTCAGATCTGCTACGTGGTGTTTGATATCTTCATTCATTCTTTTCTTGCTTTACCTGTAGAATAATGCCCTTTCAAATAAAAAAAAAAAAACCTGTTTGTCAAGAGACCACAATGTTAGCCTATGTATTGGTTTGGGGAGTCCTGGAGTCTCACTGGGCATTCAGGTTCTACCTTGTATTGTTGAGAAAAGCTGCACTTTAAGTAAGAGAATGAAAAACTCCCCTAGGATGTCAATTTTCTGCTCCACATTTTTAAAAAATGTAAAGAGAAAGTCCATGCGCACATTTGTTAGATTTTCCATCATCTTGGACTAAGCATACTAAGCACTCCATTAAGAATTGAGTAGGTGAATAGGCAGTTTGTTCCCTTTTATAATTTTAATGACACATTATCTCTCCTACTGCACTTTTTATTTTATGTGTTATAGGAGTGGAATGTGCTTAAAAGCTGACCTTTTTCACATGCACATGTGGTTTTATTCATTCTTAAATGAGAAGAAAATTACCTTAAAATTCAAGCATGAATAAAAGGCAGTGTGTAAAATCGGAAAGTGCTTTAGACGGTCCAAAATACCTTATATCAACCTCTTGTTCAAAACCAAATGTCATCACTTCCAATAGCTCTTCTGTGAGCTCTGCAGGCTAGACTGCCTTCTCTTGCCTTCTTCCCTGCAAATGTCTGTCTTGTGGTGTCATTATGTATGTGTTGATCTTGTGGTTTATGATGCCTTTATTTTTATATCATCCTTCACAGCCACTTAGCCTGGTGGCCTTATAAACTAGGACTTGGTTAAAGATAGAAGGATTCCAAAGATGGTTCATATTTCTATTCCAGAGCCCCTGGAGGGTGATAACTGGAACCATGGGTCTACACTATACAATAGAGTAAACCCTTTTGCAGGGACTGGGTATTGGGAGTTAACAGTACAGAGAGAAGGTAGGTGAGGAATGTGGAAACAGGATATGAGATCTTCTGGCTAGCTGGTGTTGCCATTGTTACTAAAGCTAAATGGTTGAGGTACCTTTTTTGGGCAATCACTTCCTCTATATTGCTCATGCTCTTGCTTTTCAGTGCCCTTGCCTTCTCTAGAGACCCTTCCATATTTTAAGTGGATTTTTTTTAAAAAGATTTATTCATTTTTATTGGAAAGGCAGATTAACAGAGAGAAGAAGATACAGAGAGAAAGCTGTGGCAAGTAAGGCCAGAGTTAAGTCAATCAGAAGCCAGGAGCCAGGAGCTTCCTCCCCCTAATTCCGCCTCCTCTCTCTGTGCCCTCATCACCACCATCTTCCACGCAGGTGCAGGGTCCCAAGGCTTTGGGCTATCCTCCAGTGCTTTCCCAGGACACAATCAGGGAACTGGATGGGAAGTAACACAGTAGGGACATGAAACAGCATAATTTGGGATCCTGGTGCATGCAAGGAGAGGATTTTAGCCACTAGGCCATCATGCCAAGCCCTTAAGTGAATTTTACTGATTGACAGGGTCTGTGTGCTGCTTTAACTAATATATGGCCCTTTCCAGCTTTTGCTGCTATGGTTTTAGGGATAGGATTTGCACCAGGCCCTTTACAAAGACTGATCAACACCACCCTCTTGTGGCCAAATGAAAATCTCCGTGTTTGAGCTGCTTTAGAATTGAACCAGGCAAGGTGTGCAGTTCTCTATATATACTCTAGTGAGTCTGCTTAGTTATCATTCATTCATTCAACCAATACTTATGGAGCATGTTCCTTGGGCTATGTAGTATTCTCAGTGACAAGATTATAGCAATGTACAAAACCGACAAAATTCTCTCCCCATATTGTAGTTGGTAGGGGTAAAAAACAAACATAATTAAATATGTAAAAATTGCAAGAGGGTTTGTTGGGGGCACTGATCATTTCCTGCCCTGTGATTGGCCCTTTGCCCTGATTGGTCTGCCTTGGTTATCTTTAAGCTGATTGGACAAGTTTGACAGATAAGCGGGGGGGCTTGACGGGGGAGGGGCTGGAGCGTAAGGGACTTAACGGTCATAAAGTTTTTTTAAGGGAAGATGGGAAGATGGGAATAAAGCGCCTCGGAGACTCTCAAGTGTCGGGTGATTTCTTCCGCGAGACAGGAGGACCCCCAATAAGGGTTGATGATTTAACAAATGAAAAGGAACAGGACCTCATAATGCTCACTGACAGGTGGCATGATTACAAAGCCTGAACAAGATGAAGCAACCACGTGGATGCCATAGGAGCAATATGGCAGATAAGGAGACAGCGAGGACATGACCTTTAGGTTGGAATTTGCCAGGTCCTTGAGGCTCTCTAGTGGATTTCCTTCCCACCCCTCTGTAAGTGGCCCCTCTTTAAAACTCCCTTTGAGGATTGAATACTTCAGGCTGAATTTGGGGTTCTACCAGGAAATTATCATGGCTAATACTCTGTTCATTTGCCAGAGAATTCCTGAAGCAGAAGGACTTCAGAATCCATGGTCTAAGACTACAGATACATGTGAGGGAAATGGCTGCAAGTGAACAAGCAGCATCTTCACAGGGTACTCCTTGACCCATTCCATCTGATCGTATAATCTGCTGTAAGTTCTTGAGCTCTCCATTACCAGGCCTTTCCCAAAGACACAATCATGCACTCCAATATGCAAAACTTAGGAAGACTGCTTGCAAATGCAGATTGAATAACCCCACATTTACAGTCAACTATCCATCAGAGTCGTGAAAGCTTGAAACTGGTTTGGATCTCCATTGCAAAAAGCACAGACACTTTTGTTGCCCAAAATAATCTGTGTCCAAGAAGAAAGATGTGACAGAAGGGCTTTGCTGGTGCTCCCAATCTTGGAATCAGAAAGGGGGATAGCATTACTGCCTCACAAACAATGCTGAACTGATTTGTAGTAAGAGCTAACTACTCCCTCTCCCCAAATATCCATATATTTTCAGAACAACTTTCACGATGCTATGCACTTAGCACAACAAGGGACACAAAATTGTTCAAGCAAAACTAATTTCCCCCCAACGTTACAAAATAGCTTGCTTTTGCCTAAAGTTACTGTTACAAGCAATACACACACACACACACACACACACACACACACACACACACACACGTTTACAAGACTGTTTTCTTCCTATTCAGTTCCAAATACCTGAGAGAAGTTGACTCAGAAAGGAAAGAGGTTTATTTTACATATCATTTTTGGCAATTCACAGTCCGAAATTGGACAGACCCCACTAGTTGGGCTGTCTAGTGAGGTCATGGGATAGCACTGGATGATTACTGCAGAAGAAGCATTGCACAGTGATTGAGGAGCAAAGGGAGCAGGTGGGCCCAGTGTAGGTTTCCATAACCAGCCCTTTCATGAAAATTGTCTTACCTTCAGTGACCTAAGGGCCTCCTTGTAGTTCTACCTCCTAAGTACCATAATTGGATTAAATATCCACTTTCTTAGTACACCGAACTTAAGTCTTTGGAATTCAACCATCTGCATGAATTTGGGAACCCCAGACCCCAGCAGTCTTAAAAACTGGGCAGCCATCTGCTCTCCGAAATAAAAATTTCCAATTCCATTCAACTCACATGACCTTGGGTTCTAGATATATAATCTTATTTATCCATCTCTGTACACCTATGAAGTAGAACAGAACACTGAGGACAGTTGCAGCTGGCAGACAAGAGTAATTCTATTCTTTTCTGAAAACTATGCCATTTTAGAAAATGATTCCTAAGATTTCATGAACTGGTTTGACAGCTTTATCACCCAAAGCAAAGTGTGGAGTCCAGCAGGAGTATGTGAGTTACTTTTATTCTACATATTTTAAAATGTTAAATGTGGAACTTACTGCTTATTTTGTTAACTTTCATTTTGTTGGTTTCACTGCTTCATTTACTCCACAGAAATCTTTCAAAATCCTGCTTCTATGAAGGAACTGCCTCCCAAGTTAGTGATCAAAGAATAGATTCAAAGGTAGAGTGGAGGCCAAGTAACACCAAATGTGGAAAGGAATAAGTATAAACTTTTTCTTTGGCCTGTGAGAAATGTTGACCTCAAACAGCTATCTAACCCTTCCTTGGAGTGGTTACTACTTAATGTTAAAACCCAAGGCTAGCATTACAGCATCTGTAAGCCCTCTCAGCATTCTGAAATGGAACTTCTAGTGTAGAGGCTTGAATCCAATTAAATAGATTGGATGCTTGGTTATCTTCTCACCTGTGTTAAAACTTAATCACCTGTTAACTATTTTGGGCTATCATACTTATCACACTGATTAGATTCCTTTGATAGGAAATAGGATTCTTTCTCTCAACATTATACTCTATGTCCCACAAAATGACCAATTCCTTTCCTTTCTCCTCATTTCAAACACATGAAAAGTGTCATCTTCCATAAACTATACCCATATTCTTTTTGGAAAGCCCAAGTGTTTTCTAGAAAAATAAAGGGCAGCACAACATGGTAAGTTTCACATTCTTGTCCCTGCTCTTGGCTACTGTACACAAGCCCCACATACCTTCTGGGTGCAGGTTAGATTTCTGGGTGAATAATATATTTTTCGCTGACAGTTTTAGATTTTACGAACTCTAGTCCATTCAAGCAGTAAGGCAAAGCCTAATGTCCCTATTCACTGTGGATGGGAACCAGCTTGAAAGAAACTCAGCTGTACCCTTTCATAGATTGTGTATGCCCCTCCAAAATTCATATGTGAAACTTAGCCCACAATGTGAGGATATTTGAGGTGAAGCTTTTGGAAAGCTATTAGGTAAAGAAACTGGAGAGACTTCTTTCAAAGGACTTCTGATGGTTCCCTTGATCCTTCTGCTGTAGAAATACTGTGCTATTTAACCAGCCAGAAAGCTCTCAGCAGACACCCTTAATTTAGATTTCCAATATCCCAAAACAATAATACATTACTGATATGCATAAGTCACCAAATCTATAATTTTTGTCTACAAATCCAAATGGATTAGGATGGCTTTTGGGTTTTTGGAGCATTTGAGAGCCAAAGGGCTCTGCGGTCCCCAAGCTCAACAGCCACCAGCTCTGTCACAAGGACCATAAATGGGCAGGTACTACTTCCTCTATTGCATAGGTTGGTACAGGTTTTTCCTTCCAGGAAGC